GATTAAAAGGATACTAGTCGATTCCACACTTATTTAATTACCCTATTTTCAGGTGTATAAGCCGCGGGGTGGTCCTAGCTTAAATCGAGCAGCCCGAACACATCAATGGACCTCGCATCCAAAGGACCCTATACCGTGCTGCGTATTGCCTGAAAGAATCGTGCGGCATAAGGATCGCTTCTCGGAACACAATGAAGCGGCTGAGCAGCCCGGGCGAAAATTTGAAAAAGTGCGGCTTATACACCTGAAAATAGGGTACTGTTAGTTTTGATCCGTGTCTTAGACCACTGAAAATATTGCTTCAGAGAATTCGGAAAATGAGCAAAAATCAGAAAAAAATTAAACGAGAAATATTATAAAGTTTAAGTCTAAGCTTTATAATCTTAGGCAAAACTTACACATACAAAATTTAGCAGTAATCAAGTCACCATTTAGACTGAACACTTTATTCAATTAGATAAATGTTTTAGTGGAGGGGGGGGGGGCTGGGAGGGAGGAGCAAAAAATTCACATCCTACATTGACATCTATTTGAATTTTCCAAAGGAATGCAATTTTCGGCAGTTTAGCGCTCTAATAAAAGATTTAAAACTGCTGGTGAACAAGATATTTAAGGGCTAAATTGAAACTATCCTAAACTAGAACGAATAAATTAAAACTTACAACCAGCGTGAAGCTTGGAAATTTTCTCCATTATAAAAGGCGTAAATCACACGGATAAGAATCACGCCGAAAGCAATAAATTTCGTTGGCTATCGGACGCCTGGTGTTTCGAGTTTTTACGCTAAGAGCTCTTTTGGATGGACTGAAAAGCAATTCGAAGGGTTTAGACTCGTTACGAGCTGGTAATGGGATTTTCTGTTCCTGCAGACTAAGCAGCATCAATAACGACGAAATATGAGCACGGAACTAGTGTGAAAATTTTGACATAGACTTTTTTCAGATGCTCCGGTAGGCAAAGAAAAAGGTCCAGAAAGCTCTAGATATCACAGTAAAACAGATGACTCGTCCGATATCTCATGTGTGAACATCCCATCCATGACTTGTTCCCCCCCCCCGTTGACTTTACTGCTCATTCACACTCCATACTCATATTTCAAACGATTTCGGACCATAAATAGGTGTGGATAAACTGGGTCACATCGCCGGTCCCAAAGTGTTATTATGCTAATTTCAGGTCAGTAATGGACCTTAAATTAAATCAGCCGAATGGGGACCCACAAGGTCGAATACGGAAGAGGAATTCCAAAGGATCTGAGAGGATTTCGCTCCAAAAACGTTGAGTTACTTTTCTATTAAATCGTCTAATGTGCGCTCGATATAATTGCAGCATCATTACAGCCCAATAAGGACGAGTTCACAACTCGGCCGATCCACTGAAGGAGGACAAAGGAAAAAGAGCAATTTCACAATTGAGGATTGAGACGAGAGACGACTCGCAAGGGTTGATTATGGTCACTTGAATGAAGATCGGGTGGAAGAAATCCACTTCTTGGAAAAAGGAAAAAGTTCTCTATTTCGGATCCTTTCCGAAGTGGATACATAGAACGCTGCTGGTATGTAAGGGGAGTTTTATGCCACTAGGGGGGGATAAGGGCAAAGACATTATTTTATCTTCAAGAAATCCATAGAAAATTGAGGCCTTCATCGTGGACGGAGTTTGCCAGTTTGAAGGAGATAGTAATGGAGAATGAAAGCGCAAAGTATAGATGCATGGTCTCTGCATTCATGAGTCCATTAAAATTCTATGAATCTATGGGCGGAGTTTTCCACTATTTTAAGACGGGGGCGGGAGGAATTGAGGAGGATTGGTGATGAGGAGGAAAACTTAAAAGCTAAAAAAATGTAGTTTCTGTATTTATGAAATCATCGGAGTGTGGCAAACCCCGCCCATACAGTGAAATGATAGTGAAATGATATGGGTGGGGTTGCTTATAACAAAATGCATTCATGACAGAGTAGTCACAAAATTTTGTATTATCTTCGCAGTTGATTCCAAAAACTCCAGAAAAATCGACAATTTGTGCACAAAAAACATCGTCTCAAAAAAAAAGAGAAAACGGAAAATGAGGGTTCCAAACATATTTGAAGTTTTTGGAATATTGATCTTCCAACAGATCTGAAAGTTTTCTGGAAGATTGAATTTTTTGAGCACATCTTGTCAAAAGTTGTTTTTTTTCTAGCAGATACGGTATTGTGAGACTTTTTAGAGGAGCCTCCTAGCCTGAACAGACGACACCATTACATAGTGAAGTGTTCTTAAGAATAGCCTAAGCACCCGAACCTAAGCCCACGGTAATACCTCCGTAGAGCACTTACGGACGGAGGAAATCAGAATTCAGGCGATAATTGGCCTAAGCAACGCTGATGAGGGTACTCGACAGCAGCACTCGCTGCATGTCATTAGCCGAAAGAATATCAAATCAGAGAGGTCAGCATACTAACGGATGCATGAAGACAGGAGCAGGAGGAGGGGGGGGATGAGGAGGCGGAGAGGGAGCGGCTGAAAATGTCGAATACGAAGAAAAAACTGTGTTTGACGATGTCCTTGATTCCCAGCGGAGAATCGCTGAAGCGTCGGATGTCGCAACGTAACTAGTCAAGCGAACACGGGAAAGAATTGCATTTCAAGGCAATCGCTAGGGTAAAAAAAATTCAAAGATACTGTAGGAGTCGAACAACACATTGGAAAAATGTTCAAGAGGAAAAGACACGACTTGACGGTATTGAAAAGAAATGGAGACGATTATCGTCACCACCGACGACGGATTGTGCTATGATACGCCGCGCACGATTGCCCGAGCGAACTCGGACGAAACCGGAACGCGCATCGGTTCGGTCATCACAAAGGTACGTTCTCTCTCTCGAACAAATTCGCGAGAATGGGCTTATCCGACAAAAACAACAGGGAAACTCGTGCAGTCCGAGTTGGCTGACTCATTTGTGTGTCTGAGAACACGGACGGTGTCGACGATGAAGAGAAAACTCGTCCATTAAGCTTAAGAAAACAAGTTGGGTGAGCTTTGTGCGTCTGAATAGCAACAGAGTCTTGACTCTGGTTTTTTCGAAGGTGACGTGAAAGTCAAACATATGCAGGTCTCTCAACTATACCTTTTCATTCATAGAAGCTACAGTACCTCTGGAACAAGAATTTTCAAAAAATTCAACAGTTATCCGTCTAAGTCATCAAAATTACTTTGACATCTTCTATCTCCTCCATATAACCAAAAAAGTGAAAATCTTTACAATGAAAATGAATTACAGTATGCCCCTAATGGTGACAGTGACATATTGCAAACTAGTTTACTTAATGGATAACATATGGAGACATTCAAGTCCAATTCTTTTATCAGAAAAAGCTCTCAGAAAGGAAACAGAATCACATGACAAGTGTTAGTCAAGCCTGCAGTGAAAATAAGTTTGGTGGATGGGGACTAAGCGTTTTTATTGCTTGAATATCCCAGATTTTTTAAGAACACACACAATGTCAAAAAATACTCTGTATACGGTTATCAAATCAAAATTATAACCTGACTCGCTCGTTTAAGGCAACATCGGGCGTTAAAACGATTATAAGGTTTTAAGAGAGCATAACAAGGAAGAAATAAAATAATGCTAGTAGAAATAACTGGTGCATGGATTCCTCCATGAAAGCAAAAGAGCATTTTGCATTTCCTTTCAAGTCTTCTCACTTTCTCTCTTCCATTTGTATCAATTTCTGGAGGCTTATTAGACAAGAAGAACAAAATTTCGTAAAAAAAAAAATCAGTACCAATGAATACAGGCTGCACTTTCTTTAATCCAACAGAAAACAGTTTTTTCAAGAATATAGCATTTTTCAAACATTAGATGAAGGTCAATGCGCAACTCAGATCCCAACTGAAGTGCTATACTATTCAGACATAAGCGTTTGGAGCAAATTGCAAATCTTAAAACTGAAAGGTCAACATTTTTTTGGATAAAACTTTCAGAGCTTCTGCAAGATCGAAAGGACTAAAAAATGTAAGATAATACCCAATTCGGGCTAGCTATATAGAGTATAAAAACATCATATGCCGGCAATTTTGGCTAAATTCGATCATGCAAATTCCCCAAGGAAAAACGTACATAACTTCATCTAGAAGAACGTATATACAATTCAGCATGACTAGATCGATTTCAGTTTTCTTATATTAGTACATACGAAGGGATTGTATTACTAGCGAAAATAATATACAGTTAATAGCAAAACTTTTTAGAATTTTGATATTCCACCAAACGCGCATATTCCCTATTTTATATTTATTCGTACCAGAAGCGCAAAAGAACACCACATACACTTTCCTCAGCCCAAAGTTATTCAACTGCAAAGCGGTTCATTGTCTTTTTATGGCTATTCTGCGAATAGAATTAGCTTTTGCAAGCTTTTGAACGAGGCAACGCCCGCGTTGAAGCAAGTTTCTGTCTCTTAAAAAACTCACTATACAACAGAGTTGACGTTTTATCCCAGAAAAGGAGGTTCGGGGAAGGTAAAATGAGCCCTGAATGGGGAGTCGCACGCCTTTTGCTTACTAGCGGGCAAAATATTTCGATTAAAAATAAACAGGATTTTGATTGATGATTGAGTCTTAGGGGAAGAAGAAAGGGTTAGATAAAATTGCTGGAAAAGTATGAGACACTTTGACTCAGTTCTTTTGGTTGATTAATAACAAATTAATAATAAAGATATATGATAACAATAAAGTATTGTAGATTTACCAGCATGTCCGTGCTTGTACCTTCGATCTTTTTCTTCGGATCCATATTCAAAAGGAACGAGAATGTTATGTGGAAGATGAGTCCGAGAACGAATGACTGACAAGAGAATGAAGCTAATTCACAAAGGAACACAGACTTTCATGCATGGAACGGACAACATTGTTACATGCATTGCGAAAATAAACCCTCGATCCACAAGCCTGACGCTCTCCGGATAGAAAAAGTTTAAAAAATCCTGAAAAAGTAATAAGGGAAAAGACTCACGCGCTTGACGCGTAGCACACCGACATAGGAGTCACTGGAATCTCTATCGGTGGTCATATAGAAGTATCTCGAATCATCGGCTAAGGTATAGGTGAATAGATTGTCACTGGAAAACATGGGTGTCAGGAAAGCAGAGAAGTGTACAGTTAACTCTGAGTGCTCAACTTCATATATGGATAGTGGGGCCATTCGTGGCTAAAAACCCAACTTTGGACTCTCTCGCCCACTACCGTACTCGCATGGTGGGCACTCGGAAAGGGTACGGTGATGGGCAAGAGTTTAAAAGGGATTTTCTCAGCCACGGATGAATCTTATGAGCTACCGTTTAGGCAGCGGTGCAGTTGTGTTCTTGCAGTTAGCTTCCATATAAGATATCCAAATACTAAAAATTTTTAAACCCCCTTCCCATTCATATTTATTCCCCTACGTACATCGCTTCATCATCCGGATCAGTGGCGGATACACTGATGACAGCCGATCCAACAGGCATCGTCTCTGGTACGACTGCCTCGTAATGTGCTCGTTCGAACGATGGCGTATTGTCGTTTTTGTCCAAAACTTTGATTGTCACATTAGCCGCACCTGCAATTCGAGCAATTATCATCTTGTTTTGATATCCAGAATTAGCGAGAAAAGGCTATAATCTACCTTCACGAGGCGGTGTTCCATGGTCGGTAGCACGAACCTCGATCATGAATTCACGTTCGGAGGGGAGCTCACGATTCAGGGCACGCTAAATGGGTAACTATCTGGCAAGCTACCTTTCTCAAAGGAGAAAACGAATTGAGTAGTAAGGTAGATGCGAGTGAAATTTGAAGATAATTTATGCTGAGAACACTCCGAAAAATACCATTTTCGAAGATAAATGCTCGGTAAGAGTTGTATAGTTTAGGTGGTACACATTGAATGTAAAGATAAAGATAAAAATGCCCTTCGTCATTCATTGACAAAACAAAGACGGTTTGAGTGCATAATTGGGCATTCATCAGCTTGCGTAACAGAATTTAGTCCTCAGAGAAGATAGACGAGATTTAAATCAAAACTGGCTGATTTTAGGGTGACATTTTTAGATCTAAATTCCCAATTCCATTCCCAATTCCCAACTTTTTAGATCAAAATTCCCAAAATTCCCAAACCTATAACATTCAAACAATCTTTGTTGAGGATTATCTGAGCGTGACTAAGGTTCTTCGAACAAATTCTGTCGGTTTCTCTGGAATGTCTAAAAATGTTTCACTTCCTTTAAGGGTGATAGCCCAAATATGACAACTTTGGAACTGACGTGACCGGAATGATATGAATTCCTTTTTGGAGCTTCATGAAAAACTTCTACTTGGAACAGCAACATCATTGATTGTCACATTAGATTTTGATTTCGAGAATAAAATAGTGACATATCCACAGATATTTCTAAGATAAGAGAAGTTCCAGAGAATTTTTATAGAAGCACTTATGCTCTTCTTTCATTTCGTAAAAATTACCCTAACATTTTTGCGTCTGGATACGGACGGAACATAAAATGAAACGATGTAGAGTTATAATTACCATAGCGAATATTTTCCCGGAATTTGGATCGATTCGGAAAACCGGCACTCCATCAATCTCCTTATTGAACACGATACTGTACTCAAGTCTGGCATTGTCCGTAGTTGGATCATCATAGTCAGTAGCATGGACATCCATGAAATAGACTCCATCGGGAGCTAAAAGTCATAATTTTTCACTTTGAGAGATCTTGGATGCAAAAGATGTCCTACAATGTGGTTCACGATTTTCCTCGACGTATCCATAGAGATCGTCAGGAAATATGGGAGCGTTGTCATTGATGTCTTTCAGATTCACCTGAAGTGGTTAATTACTCAGCACAAAAACATATTATTTTCGTGAAGGTCCCGCAAGGAATAAAAACTGACCTGCACATCTGCATAACCAATCAGACCTCTACCATCATCATCTACGGCCTGCACGATGAAGTTCCAAGTTGGGACCCCGTTTGGTGGATCTCGGTCCAGCGCCTGGATTTGTTCGAGATAAACTTCCATTTTGAAGGAGATAATTGAAAAAATAACCTTGATAAGTTCGATATCGCCCGTATCACGTCCTATGCGGAAAAACTCGCCAGCGCCTTGTCCTTCCAGCAGATACACAATTCGACGACTTTTTTCATCCTGCAAAAGAATTTCGTTTGCGCCAGCTAATGACAAATTAGCTCAAATTTATTTGTAGCGCGATTTAGCCAATTTTTTGAGCGCTAATTTGCTTTGGCTTAGTTTTTTCCCCCATTAACGCTGTCCTCAAATCTGCTATTTGTCCATTAGAAAGGTATGTACGTAAAAAGGGGAAATTCTTGGAAATCGCGAGTTTTTAAAATTATAAAAAACCAATAAGTCAGGTCATCACCAAAAAATGCAATGTACAAATAAAAATTCTAGAAAGTTCCTGGAATTGTTACCTTGTCCGCGTCGGTGGCTCTAACATGAAATAGCACTTTCGGGATATCCGGGTCCTCTTCAAGAATTGTGGTCGAGTAGCTGGGCTGGAATTGACGCATTTTCAAGTTGAAGGTTTTCAGCAAATAGAACTTGGCACCTACACCAGATAATTTTACTTCAGTAATATTTTTATAAGGACCTATATTTGACACGGAAGATTTTGTCGAAATTTTGACACATACGAAATTGTGGAATTTAACTAAAGTAGTAAACTCGAGTGAATTTGATTATAAATTGCATTTATTTTTGTCTTATGAATGAAGACTGGCTGAACTATTAGGTTGAACCGAAAGTTCTGTCGCACCATTTTCAAAAATTCATAACTTCTGATTTTTCCAACCGACACTGCTTTTATTTTTGTATGAAAGAGTAAGTCATGCTCTTTATAAAGACATCTTAGCTGCTTACTAATGGTCATCTGTTGCGATAGGAGCGACAGAAGAAAATTGGTCAAAATTCGAATTTTCTGTGTAGGGTCATAAAAAATCGGAAACTTGCAGCAAAAATCAGAGCTGTCAGTATTATAGGTTTTATTACCCGCTCTTTCTAAATGTGCGAAGTTTGCGCCATTGGGCGTCTCTATGAAAAGTTACGATTTTCGAGAAAGCAATACAAAAGAGCGAATTTGATTTATTTTGGCATTTTTCAAGGAAATCATAACTTTTCATAGGGACGCTCAATCGGCGCAAACTTTGCGGTTTTAGAAGCTGGTGAATGAACCTACAATACCGACTGCTCTGATTTTTGCTGCAACTTTCCGATTTTTTATGACCATACACAGAAGATTCGAATTTTGACTAATTTTCTTCTATCGCTCTTATATATGCAACAGATGACCATTGATAAGCAGCTAAGATGTCATTATAAAGATCATGACTTACTCTTTCATAAAAAATATAAGCAGTCAGATCGGTTGGAAAAATCAGAAGTTATGAATTTTTGAAAATGGTGCGACAGAACTTTCGGTTCAACCTAATATGTGGAAAATCCTTCATTTACAGGATATTAACTGTCAAGGATTAGGAACTCCAAGATTGTTGCTTTTTTTCTCTACCTAGAACCAGGGCCCGGCACAGGTGGCTTGGCAAGCAAGCTGGATATCGTTTTTGGGGAAAAAGCAAAGGGGATATCGTTTTTGCGGTAGAGCATAACGTTGTCTTTTGGTCTGCGGCCGGCACGCTGCCGGCATGCCGCTAGCAAATAAACAAAAGGTTTGTTTACAGCGAAGTGAAGATGAAATGACACCAAAATAGGTGTGTAGATGGGCAATGGGGAGTTAGAACTAAGTACGAAAAGTTATGAAAAAATTATGTGAACTAAAGGCGTGCTCAACTTTTTTCGGAGTTAGGTGGCTTTCAAGCCACCTGGACAGCCACCTGAGGTGGCTTAGGAAAGAAAAAGTCATAAATTTTTCCTCCCTCACATAATTTTTCTACTTCCTTCAAATACTTTTCATCTACATCCAAAACCCTACAAACTGGTTCCTAAACCGCCTCAAACCCCCTTCTCCCCGCTTAGTTATAGCCTTTTGAAAATTTTGAATGGCCGCGGAAAGGCTGCTCTAGGCGCGTATTGCTGCACGATGGATACATCATGCCGCCATTCCGGAGAATATGAATATCATCGCGTGTATTCGATGATTCTTTTTCGTTTTTTTTCCTGCTGTTGCTTTGTTCCGTTCCTTTTCATGTATTTTCTCTTCGAGTATCTCGTGGCGGATGTCGTAATTTTATTGAAGTCAAAGGGGACTTCATTTTTTGCAATTTCGGGACGCCACCTCGTGCCGAGCCCTGGTCTAGGATCAAAGGGGACTTCGTAAAAATTTGCAAAAGTCAAGGGGGACTTCGTTTTTTGCATTTTCAACTAGCCACATCGTGCCGAGCCCTGCCTAGAACTCTTGACCAAATGCCATATTTTGATTTTTTTTCAAAATAAAAATTATTTCGATCCACCTGTTCAAACACTGGAGCGTTATCGTTTACATCTTCAACATAAATGAAGACATCCGTGGAAGCGTTGTGGCGTCCATCCGAAACCAGCAACCGCAGATGATAAACAGCTTCCTGTTCGTAGTCGAGTGGTTCCTAAAAAGTCCACTTCTTTTCAAAATGGCCTTTTTGACAGGGTGCAGCCCAGCATTTGATTACTTTCGACCAGGAATATATTCCACACTTTGATTCGCTGTAATACAAACCTTAACAAAAATAGCGCCGCTATCAGTTCGAGCTCCAAAGGGAATTCGTCCCCCCTGAGCAGCAACGACATCATAGCGAAGAGTGGAATCTGAAGCCAAGACCATTGAGAAACTCAGAAATTCTACAAAAGTTTCCAGACTCACGTTTATCCAGATCATGTGCCTTGACGGTAATGATATCGTGTCCGGGATCGGCGTTTTCTAGCACTTTTCCCACATATTTAGGCTCGTCAAAGTATGGTGCATTGTCGTTGACGTCACCGATCACAATTTGTACTTTCACATTATCTAAAAAGATCCTTTTTCAAAATCACAAGAAAAAATTATGGATGTCGCACCTTTGTTAGGTCCGGCAGCTCCAGGAAGCGCCGATGGAAGGTCATCTCTGGCTTCGACAGTGAGAATATACATATCCTTCTGCTCTCTGTCGAATTTCGCATTTGGCCAAATCTCTCCAGTAAATTCATCGATGCGGAAGAGTTGTGCTCCAGTTGGATCCGGTACATCCAGAATGCGATAATGGACCTAGGTCGAAAGTTTAAGCAAAAGAGAATGGCCATTGGAAAGTGTAATTTTGATAAATGTCGGATCGCAATAGTTCGAAATTTACAGAAAATCAAATGTTAAAGATATGTTCATTTGTAGTCTCTGCCAAATACGCACAGCGGAAGCTTCAACTTTGTTGGAACTTCCGCGAAAGCTTGTCGAAACTTTCAGATCATTCACCCGAACTAATTATTTTCATGGATATCCCATCACACACTAACTAAATGTAAGTATATACAAGAGGAAAATATCAAGTAAATGTTACCTCATTCTGTGGACCATTTGAATCCAGATCTACTGCCTTTACCGTTGTGATAGGCTTGCCAACTCTATAAGCATGTTATGAATTTTTCCCATAAACCGAATCCAGTCTTACTTTTCTAAGTACTCGGCAGGGGTAAGTTCCTCATCCACGGTCCCGGTAAACAGATCTACGGTAAATTGTGGGACAACATCGTTCACATCTTGAACGAGCACCACAAAAGAGCGAGATGATGACACATGTGAGTTTACATCCTGAAAATGCGAATTTATTTGAAACGATGGAAATTTATCGCAATTTTTCGAAACAATACCCACCGTAGCAGTGAGGGTCAGCGTATAGTTCTGTGCTTGCTCATAGTCCAGCGGCTCCATGATGACAACTTCCACCCATTCTCTTCCATCCTCTATCTTGTTAAATTGCCGGAATTTAGCGTCAGGTTTACCAGGACGACTTACGGCACCGTTACTTAGCCTAAAGCAGATTATTTTTATTGGGTCGGCTGAGGAAGAAATAAAATTTATTCTCGAACAAAACTGGAAAAGATGGGACCGACGTTTTAGAATTTTTTTCAAGTTCTTTTCGCGGAAAGACTTACTGTATTGTCAAATGACACATTCTAAATCAGAGTTACTCATTGTACTACACAACTTACTTGTAAACGATAGAACTCTTGGAACCATCTCCAGCCACTGCACGGCATTTCAGAAGAATCTTGTTCATCTACAAAGTGTGCATACAATACTCTTTTTTGTATCACCTCTCTACAGACCTCTGTATTTTCCACGACCGTCACCTCTTTTTTACAATCAGGACTAGTTTGCCATCGTGGTGCAGATTGTTGTTTTTCGTGTATTTTGATCGTGACCTGTGCATTCGTTAGTTACAAGGGAGATTGGAATTAAGCTTGTGAACTTACTTGAACAGAACTTCTTTGAGCTTCTGGTATGCCATTATCATCAGCAATCACGTTGAAAATAAACTTGTCCTTCTGAACAAAGCAAATGAATAAAGAATCATCGACATTTAGCGGTAGACTTACCTGCTGGTTTCTGGGTATGGGCTTCATTAAAGTGATCTCCCCAGAGTGCTCGTTGAGAATTTGAAAGAATTTGGCATCATCTTGGAACTCTTCTCCTGCAAAAGATAAAAGTTCAAAGGACGCGCGGAAAGATCTCGTCCAAATTTTGGCATTCACGAAGAGAACTTTTCAATACACAAAATTGTTACCTGCTGTTGGATCCGCTTCCAAGTGATATGTGACATTGGCATTATGAGGAGCATCGTTGTCAAAGGCGAATACCGTCAAGATGGATGTCCTTAAATGATAAAATGACCCTAGTCATGTGCTGAACCGCTTATTTATAGTTGTAGAACTTATTTACTGCCATGTTGTTTAATTCATCAAAAATGAGCAAATGTTTTGTGCAAGTTGGTAGCTTTTTCTTCAGATTCTAGATTTTTCAACTCACGCACAAATTCAGCATTTTGATTCTCTTATGATCAAGATTTTTGCAAGTTCTCAGTCTCACCCGATAGTTTCACTCCTTGAAATGCTTGTCTCATATGAAGCTCGATCAAATTGTGGAGCATTGTCATTCACATCCACGACTTCTATGGAAAACTGACAGAAGCCTATCAAAGGTCTATCTCCACGATCGGTTGCCTAAAACCAAATTCAGAAGACTCCCCTTTTAGTAGTAGTCCTTTCTTACCTTGACCGTAACGTCTTCCCTAGGACGAGTTTCCCGGTCAAAGATGACATGTGGTGATGGTGTGAGAACTCCAGTAAGTTTGTCGATAACAAATGGTTTTCTAGATTCACTCTGTGCATAGTAGAGTGAGTAAACGATTTGGCCGTTGGAGGACGAGTCTTCATCGGTGGCTTCCACCTAAAATACAATCAAAATAATTACTTCGGAATCCGCACATGAATGGATTTTACCTTGATTATCGTAGGTGGGTCCTTCTTGTAGACTCCTTCTTGAATCTTTGCTAATTCACCATAACTTGCACAATTTCGAAATTCTGGCCTATTATTGTTTACGTCTTCGATGCCTCAAATAATATATGTTAACGCTTAAAGTCCATAATCTGAGGAACTATTGTACCTATAAGTACGGTAGCTAAAGCAGTGTGCTGAGGTGAATCTGCAGAGCAGCATGAGCCGTCGTCACGAGCTATTACTGTGAGGTTATAGGGAGAGTCAGTTTTCAGAAGATCGGTGGCATGAACTCCGGATCGCAATTTGATTAGTCCTGAAAAAGTAGATTGATTAGAAAATTATGAATAGCAATTCAACTGTCCGCCCACCTGTGTCTTTGTCAATTTGGAATAATTTTGTCTCGTAGGTCTCTTTGCCGGATTTGTCAATGAAGGCGTACTCGACTTGATCTCGATCCGGATCGCGAGCCTAGGAATAGTTCTTAAATGCCTTAGTTAGACTTTGGTGCTACTTGAAGGAATGTCTCATTTAAATTATGATAGCTTGTAACAGAGAAATATGCCAAAAATGCTTATTATTGTGACACCAAGCTAAATAAAAATCCGCAAAAAACTCGTTAAGCGTCAGAATCTTAGAGTTCAGCCTTGAAAATAATTGCTTCACTACACACCTCCATCTCAACTATATATTGCACTACATGTGCAAAAAAGCCTATACTAGGTAAGGCAATGCAATATCCTCGCTTAGATAAATTTGATTTTTGACAACAATATGCAACAAAAAAATATGGAAGCAAAAGTGACAATAAGGAGGAGAAACCCAGATTTGTGCAAAGTGCTTAAAACCGTCAACCGAATTACTAGTAACAATCTGTGACAGTTCAAGGCAATAACTGGGAGAACTCATCAAACATAGGTCCTCCATATGGATTGAAACTGGTTACATTTTTTTCAATGACAAGCGATGAGTGCATTTCTGACACATAGAACACTGTGGTATCGGGTAATAAAATAATATGAGCTGACACAATGAGAGCGGAAATTACTATGAGGATGAAGCAAAATAAGCTGCTGTATAGATGAATGTATTATATATTTAGTCTACCGCTATGACTAGAATTTTTCAAGCTTAAGAGTTTTCAGGCATTTATTTTTCAAGGTTTTTCTACCTGTATCTGAACTACTGGAGTTCCTCCTTGAGCATCTTCCGCTATATATGCCGTGTAGTGCCGCGTCGGAAAGAAAACGGGAGCTTCATCGTTTGTGTTCTCAGTTCGAATGTGCACCTTAAGATTTATAAGCTCTTCATTTCCGAAACGAAGCTAGCTTTAAGTATTTACTGTGGCATTGGAACTCAGCGGAGGATTCCCATAGTCTGTTGCCGTAACGTTAAAACGATAGATAAAGAAACGTTCTTTATATTGGTCCGCATCCAAACGATTCTGAACGCAAAAAATTTCTTAGTCTCTTAAACGAGAAAATCTCTAAAACTAAAAATTGGTTTCTTTACCTTTGCAGAGAGTTCTCCTTTGTCATTGATTGTGAAATTGTCGTTGTCTACTGAATAGCGAACACGTGCGTTGTCACCAGAATCTTTGTCTTCGGTTCGCACTAAAAGGAAAAAATCAAAAGAAATTAACAGATAAAAGAGAACCAGAAACCATGAATCTTCTCCTGAAAGATGTAAATTATGTAATCATTTGGTATAAGATGAACGAAAGGGCTTGACGCATTGTAATTTAAATAAATTAAAATGAACTCAGAATCTAACAATAAGCATAATGCACCTTCGTTAGAATTCTGATGGTAAGATATTTTTAGTTCTTTTTCATCTTTTATGGACCAGCGCAATTTTCAGTTAAAACGATTTGTCGCAATACTTACACTACTTGAGATTTTGCCAATGATTTGCCATCACAAACCTTGCAAGATCGTCTCCCCAACGGGGAAATCCTCCCTGACTTGAGTTGTATACAACGGTCTGCTAAATATTGGAGCGTTATCGTTGACATCAGTAATCTGCACATCGACAGGTACACTGGACTCCTTTCCATCTTCGCTGGCGATGACTAAATGTAAAAGTTACGATAGTCAAGCTGTGTTCTGCTCAAAAGGAAGTAGAAGCAGTAATTTGCTAGAAAGATTTTACGAAAAAGAAAACTGTGAGGAAATTACAGCACGCAGTGAAAATAACAGCAAATCGAAGCCTCAAATTTGAGCAAAACCATACAGTGTTTCTTTTGCAAATTTGAAAATACACTTCTTGAGGAAAACGCTCTATTTCGATCAAAAGTCGTTTTCTATTTACAACCACCCCTACCCTTAATTTTGCCCTCCCTTTGAGCAAAATATGCGATTCTAGACCGTCAAGAATTCTTATAATTAACAAGCACCGTATAATCAGTTTTTCGCCCTATCCATGCCATAATCCATTTTCTTCCCAGCTTCTCACCCCCTGGAACCGTCAATTTCGTCTTATCCCATTGCCGGCAATTGCTTTGAGGTCACGTAACGCTTAGCAGCTGTTACAAAATCGTAGCTGGTGCGCATAAATCAGAGCCGATGATCCTCTGGGCGTCTAATAAATCGCGCTTTAGCCCCCTGCTTGAGCGGTAACGATATTACTATGCGGTAGTGAGGATAATCGTCCTAATGAGCTACGGATGTAACGGATGCTCTGCGTAAATGACACCGATAATGGCCCCCGTGGTTACTCAGGTGATCCCCTTCAAGCACATCCACAATGGAATCGAGCAAATCTTGATAAGGACAAGTCGAAGAGGATTAATTAGGTGGAGGAAATCAACAAGGACGGGAAGAGAAGTAGGGTGGAGAGATGGAGAGGCGCTGTCATTGGCAAGCGAAAAATGACCAAATCCATCAAAAATGCTGAGGAAAAATTGTCTCATGCAAGATTCCGCTGCAAATCTCAATCCACAACTCAAAAGTTAGAGAACCAAAGTTTACATGTTGTGAGGTTGATTGCATTAGTGCCAAAATTTAATCTTAAAAAATTAAGCAACTTGAGAATATTAGTCCCAGTCTAGATTTACTCAACTCCAACAAGTGAATTTAAACTAAATTAAAATCTTCACCCTACATTGCTATCCCCGCGATTCAGAACATAAGTAGCCGAACATCATTATACGTAGAACTCCCGAATAAAACTTATTTTTAGTCCTATCGATTAAGTTCGTAGTTTTCAAAATGATAAAGACGAAAAAGACATGGAGAGCACATATGAGTTTTTTATCTGAGAACTCATACTAACAGTGGCAGTGATAGTCTACATCAAGAAATGGTTTTGTTGACCAGATAAAGAGGAAATCGAAAGGATATTGTGTATTCATTGTTGTTCACCGGCTGCATCAGGTCTAATTCAAAATGCAAAATATGATTTTACTAGCCCTATGAGATCGGAAAAGGTGCATAAGATGATAGTGCTACTAATAGCTGTTTGACCATTTTTTAGAAGGATATCCTATTCTTATAACGGACATCCGCGCATTTTTTCCCCACATTTCCGGAAAAAGCTATAATTTGATCTCTATGCTACCGATAGCTCTTCTCATGAAAATACGAACTGACAATAACGCAGTGAAACTTTTAACAAGTTGCCATAAATGCATCTGTGAGCTAATCATTCAAATATGAGATATCTCCACCAAATGGCATGAAGACCGAGCAAAAATACAATAAAAGGATATGGCTGGAGAGGGAAAACAGCAAAAATCATCATGTATCTTTCAGCAATTTCATGTGAGTAAACGGCGTGAATACCCAGTCTTTACATAGAACCTCAACGGTGGATCACTGACCTAAAAAAAAACTCACCAATAAGCTTGTGCAGCTTCGTCTGCGATGGATCATCATAGTCCAGAAGCCTTCTCAGTAGAATTACACCGCTTTTGGGGTCGATGCCAAAAACAGAAGTTTCCTCTCGTTGTCCACCATGATAACCGAAGAGGGAGTAGGTAAGTTCTCCTTTTGATCTACGATCATCTATGGCACGGAACCGATGGGCTCGTACGTCAACAACGCTAAAAAATAAAGTAGTTAAGAAGCTTGAGATGTCAAGAAAATTTATAAAAGAGCGCTCATCATCCGTGAAACTTATTAGAAAAGAAAATCAGTGCACTAAAAAGACCTGCCAATTTCACATTCTGGATGAAGAATTCTTTACCTGTAATCCACGAGGCTATCTTCAGCCAAAGAAACGGTATAATGCTGTTGAAGAAATTGAGGTGGACGATCTCCAGCCAAAATCTCAAGCTTCGCCACCTCAGATTCCTAAAACAACGATAGCTACCTCCAAAGCAAGTTAAAAATTACAAATTCTAACCTGCTTGGTTGAGTTGTCCCTCGGTGTTTTGTCGATGGCTTGTACTAGAACTCGATACGTTTGCCCTTCTTTGTACTGTCTCACAGCTGTCCTTACAACACCAGTGGCTGCATCGACAGTAAACATGCCAGATGCTAAAATTGGTGAATCATACCAGAAGAAGTCAATATGGCTGTTAACACAATTCACTCACGTTCAGTGTTGATTAGTCGATACTCAACGTCTTCATCACCATCTCCAGCTTCATCACGAGCGACAAACTGCACATGAGGTTATTAAGAACATAGTCAAAGTAAACAGAGACGTTTTTCCGGATTATTCAAGTCAAGCTAATCTACACGTTGGTAAAATGTTGGAATTTCTGTTCTAAAAATTCTGCTGAACTCTACAAACTTCATAGACAAAAGCTTCAGATCACAAAATTCTAAAGAGAAAGTGAGATGTCCTTTCTCTTACTTCCAAATAAAATTTATGATTTGTAGTTGATGATGCAAGAAATTCAGTTTATAATTACGAACAGGAACGAAAATCGCAATATGAAACGGGACGTAATTGAGTTCTATGTCAGATTGTCAGCTGCAAATGAATGCTTGAGAAAGAGCGAGACATTTTCTTTATTTGCAAACTTTGTAGCTGCTGTCGTTCTGTCGAGAATTGTGCTTTGGCGAATAAATGAAAACTAAACCATAAATAGAAACTCACTTTGTAGACGTGAAATCCTACAGGTGTCTCCAATGGTACCACAGCAAGGAATGGAAGTGGGCCATTAACAAATGCTGGAGGTTCATCGACATCTTCAACTTTGATGTAGAGCGTTTGTATACGAGCTAGAAAAACGATTTCATTGATTTTGATATTTTTTAGATAATTCATGCCTTCTTAAAAGACATTGAGCATCTTGACAGCTTTTTACTAATCTCTGGACCAAAATTAGCTTATGAGATGACGATTCTTCCTTCGCTTTCAGCTTCTCTCCTTTCCACTCATCCTTGCTCAACCCTCCTCCTACAGGTGATAATAGCGTTGAAGGAGAGGTGCAGTTATTCTACCGTGAACGCCAATTACTATACTCATCAAACGCTGCGGATAACAATAGAAATCTGTGTCGGAACGAGCCGCTCTGAGATATCTAATTAAGCAATTATCATTGTCCAGGCAAGAAACACCTGCGACATAATTGGCTTATAAAAAATATTAGCTCTGTTATAGCCGTTCCAGCCGTTCAAGATGAGATTAGCACACCTGTAGATAAGCCTCGGAAGCATAAAAACAAGGCATAGCAAAAATTACGAGAAAATTTCCCAAAAAGATGCCCCTGAGCAACAAGAGTTCGAAATAACTACCCATGAGTTCTGCCTAATTAGGTTCCCGATGCAGATATGGATAGGCCTTGAATCTATCATTGCTTATACAGAGTGTCCCAAAAAGATGTGCACACTGTTTGATCGTTAATAACTCTCTTGCTTTCACATCTTTTGCCGAGCTTGAGGTACAATTCTGTAGAGCGAGGATAAACTTAGATTTGCAGTATTAAGCGAAACTCGAATCTATTTTTGCTACTGTAGGATTACGGTATGAACTTCCAACATACAGCATCACTGTGGAATAAGCCTTTTAATGAAATAATTTCAAAAAATCTAAAAAATTGTGTAGCAAGGTTTTCAGGCATGCTGATTTCACTACATAACTTTCCATCAGTTTTTTGAGCTTTTTTGACGGCGTATTCACATTTCTGCTGAACATTGGAAAATCAGTTGTTTTCCTAAATCTGAAATAACTCATGAAAGAAACAGTGTACTGACGTGCAGTTTTCATATTTAGAATCAGCCACTGCGATTAGCCCAGTTCAAAAGTTTCTGGCTTATTTGGTTCTTTTCTGAGGCAAAATACAGCTTTCCATTGCTCGAAATCCTCCTCGAAATCCTACCGTAATCCTACAGTAATGAAAAGCGGCTGATAAGTCCCTCTATACTGTAAATCTAAGTTTATCCTCGCTCTACAGAATGGTACCTCAAGCTCGGCAAAAGACATGAAAGCAAGAGAGATATTAACAATCAAACAGTGTGCACATCTTTTTGGGACACCCTGTACAACTGTAGCCGAGAAATATAATACTAAAAGCCCAGGTTGTACAGTATTCTGACGGAACAACGTCCTCAATTACGGTACTGGGTGAAGCGGCTATCTTGGACTCGAAACTTCAAAAGGAATTGAAGAAGTAAGCAGAAAAATACCGAGACCTTTTGAATGTAATCGAAAACTGTTTTTCAGTTTTTTTTTCTATTTTACAAAAAGAAGATCAAAGTAGTCACAATTTTCCTCTGCCCAGAGCATTCGAATTATTTTTTCTGATAGTTCTAAAGTTAATTTTTTCGCCATGACCCTAACCCTTCCACTCCCAGAGGATAGCCCTACCAGCCCTACCATAAGTAGATTATTTATATCCGGAGTCGTTCACGCTTGCGCAATCCCCTAAATCGACCATTTCTGATTGATTTTGCGGAAAATCCCATAATGACCTCTTCTATTGAGAGCCGTATTGACTGTCATGGCAGGCACTCGAGGGGTTCTTTAATGAGGGCTTGAAGATGCCCCCGAAGAAGCTATCCGGGAAATGAGTAGGCAAGAAGGATAAAGGTCCTTGGATGAGTCATTCTGATAAGGAAAGGCTCGGAAGGATGTGTGCGGAAATTGAGGTTTTAGGGAAATTTTCTGGGACTGCTGAGAAAGTCGTGGTGGGGAATTTCCGGAATGTGATTCATCCAGAACCAAAATGTCAATTTCCTCTTCACTCTTTGCCCTTATGTTGCCCTTCAGCCCGTTTCCCCGTCCCCCGCGATCCCGCGCATATCTACGGTTAACACATCTGGTTGCCTTAACGCTATCCATATGCTCGATTAGAGCCGAACAGAAAGAGAAAGGCAGTACACTGCTCGTGCGAGACATGACCGGCACGTTCGCGCAATTACATTCCTGTAATTACAGTATCCCGCTGATTTGACAATGAACTCTTCTTTTGTTTCATTGCCACTACCGTCGTAACCTCTTCACAATTCGAAGTCGAGAACACAACAGATGGGTGTTTTTTGGGGCCACGGTAGTTGCCCAAATGGCGCCAAGGAGTCAAAATACTCCTCTAATTATTCTTGCAAGATCCCTCTCCATTCAGAATTTTTTCCAGTCCTCTATCCGAAGCGTATGGCAAAGTCAATAAAATTTAGAGTTATGCGAGTGGCGACACATCCAACCGATCGTAAATTTGACGTACCCAAAGTGGACTAATGCTCCCTAGAGTATCGGACCCTTGACCCATTGGCATTCATAACGAGCTGTCGAGTCCCAGCATCTGCAACCCCGTCCATAAATGCCCCCCCCCCCCCAGCTCACAACTTCTCATTGCGCCAACCCCGGTAGATTACTATAAACAAATGAGCTTCTCTTCACAAACGGATTAGCCCGTTGAAAGAGATCTCTTACCCGGACAAAATGAGCACCGAATAGCCAAGGGTAATGAGGTCTAAATGAGGTCCGCTGCCCCGAATGGTGATGTATTTGACGTAGGACCTCGTCGACAGGAAAATGAATCATTCAACGAGCGGAAGTCTGGACTTTCCGCTGTGAGATGTATGGATGTAGTAGAATTTATAAATAGCAATACTATGTAGGCGTTTGTACGATAGAAGATGGATGGGGCTAATTTAAGGACAACAGGGTATATTTACTACCTGGAAATGATTGATCGGAAAATTTTTAGGACAGAGTTTAGGTAACTTAGACCCAACACTAAGCGATTGATATAGAAAAAAGAGAAAACAAAAAAAACACACAAAAAATACAAGCAGTTTCTTCACTATGCTTCAGGCATTTCATACTAAAGTCTTCGCCAACCTCCCCTGCATCTCCAGAATATTTTCAAAAATTCATATTGAATATATCTCTTGCGAGCACTAGCTTAAATATTACATCAAATGAGAACTCATTGATGAAAGATCCATTTGACCCATTTTCGATAATATCCACAATTTGAACCATCTGAATCAATTTTTGTGACCGTAACCTTCGAATTTTCCCTTGATACTCTAATATGCACAGACCTGGAACTATTTGAATCTCCCTGGACATCGAGAAATTTGCTCTAATAGAATTCAAATTCCCCTTAGTCCCTGATGCCTCGTATGTGTCTCATTCCAATGACTATGAGGTCATTCCGCGGTGTTCGCTCTTCTCTCCTGCCTGTCGATTGGTGTCCATGGCGACCTTTGTTGATTCAAGGTAATTCACTCATATGTTCTCTCCCCCTGACATAGTCCGCTGATATCCGGTGACATGCTTTCCGACATATTGAACGCAGGAACACACAATGAATCTTCAAATGGAATTCGTGGCCAAGGGTAGCGAGAAGCCCTCGTTTGGATACCGGCTGGCTCCCAAAAATTGCCGTTATCGTACCCTTAGTGGTTTAGGCTCAAAAAACACAACCAGATCTTGCTGAAATACCCAGCCAAGGATGGCAAGCATCCCCTACCTGGATCCCTGGACCCCCAAAAATCCCCGATACCGTACTCGGAGTCCTCCATACGGGCTCAAGGATCATTGGTAAGAGTAGCCACACATCGGCGATAATCCGTCAATCGACGCAGGTCAAGTGTATCACGTCCGGAGGCGAACTGGGTGACAAAACAAATACCAAACCCCACAAATGGGCTTATTTTTTGATTTATCCTGGGTAAGCCGGGTTTTGGGTTACCTGACTTATGATCACGGATCTAGGAAATGCATGGGAGAACAAATTCAGATAGAAAGAACAGAATATTTTTGTGAAGGCAGTCTATAGTAGAATCATACAAAATTCAATGTATGAGTTTGCACATACCACACAGTAATCCACGACTTTTCGCTTTCGAAGTCAGTAAGAAACTTTCAGCTGAAACAATTATAGAGAAGTAAATATATTTGTATTTTTGGCCCTACTTACGCCCAAGAAAAGATAAATTAGGGGACTAGAGAAAGGAATTGTAGGCGCTTTATTCGTGGTGAAGCGCATAGTGTGAAAACACACACATTGAAAAGAATATGACAAGGCTATACATAGAACCCAAATGATAGTCCCAAACTGAATCATAAAACGAAAAAGAAATGCTGAATTTCAAAGACTGCTCAGACATATTTATGCATTAACTTTTGATTAGTGATTTTTGCCCCCTAAAAATCTTGAACAGAATTCTTGATTCGGGATACTACACTTTTATCATTCTCCCAAAATTTTAAGCTAACTCTTCCCATCCTAATTCCCATAGCAAATTAAATTTCTCGATTCCCCAAGTAAATCCGATTTGTGACCCAACATCTCCAAATAGAGCAGCCGTAACACCTGCCGCAGTAATCTCGTAGGAATTGACTACGTCGAGATTAGCTTGATGGAGTGGGTAAGATATAATTTTGCCCTTATAAATCAATCGGGAGCTGGTTCTTGGTGGCTTTGGGTGGTATTATATTCAAAGAATGATGTAAAGCGCACTTACGAGAAGAGAAGAATAAGTTATGACTTAAGGGTTTGAGAAAAAAGACCTGAAGCCTACTAGCAAGGCTTTGAAAAAAATGATATTCCCCTCCTACCCCTATCCATCTCCAGATGACATTCGCCTTCATATCGCCACTATCCACGGCCAAATTGTCACCCTTCACCCGTTAATGAAACCCCGACATGCGACAATTGTACGTGGTTTTTGCTGCGAAGCCCATTTCAAATCCAGAATGTGCCATAACCTAGCATAGTAAAAAAGAACTACATTGAATGCAATTGACCTTTGTATAGCTGAGCCCCTTTGAAATCCTACATTCTCTTAGGGTCTCAGCTTTAGTTATAAACCGGCGGGAGTATGGCGCTCGATTGCAATCCGAAGGATATCCACTCAGTGGCCGCAAATCAAATTTTGCTTTGAGTCATACATAAGGCTTGATATGACGGCGTGGATGGATAGAGAAGATGCGTGGAGAGGTAGAGGAAGTATAAGAGATGCTTGATCACAAGCGATGTACAAGAAAAAGTGAACGGAAGTCTTACAGGAACGAAGAGAAGAGAGCAGAAGAGAAACGAAATCAAAGAGGGTAAAACAGACTCGCCAAATGAACTCCAAAAATATAAAGTAATGGGAATTAGATTGTAAAAGGAGTTGTGCATTCTAGTATAGAAAGGCTTAACAAAAAGATGAAGGAAAATCCAATAGATGAAAAAAGTTCGGGGAAAAGAGAAAAGATCTGCTTAAAAAGCAAAAATTTGACATGACGTATCAAAAAATAGCAACCCTCAACCTCATCGTTGAATTTCAGTCTTCACAAAAATTTGAGTTTAGAGAATGACTATGAAAAGTCTGCATATATGAAAATATTCTTAACATTCAGAGAATAAAAGGGCAAGAATAATTAATGAATTCTAAATAAAAAATTTCTTTCTAAATAGGTATGACGATAGGTAAGAGTTGGGAAATATTCAGGATCTTTTGCGGATCTCTCAACAGAATGAGGAAGACCATTGTGACCCTCCATACTGTAGGTTTACGGTAAAAGCAGACCGAGTTTCACACTCAATACTAAATTATAGAAAAGAAAAAAGGCATAATTCTGCAAGGATATGATAAAATTGGGGGCATTTGCCCCTTAAACAAACAAGTCGGCGCTCATTGGAGATTTATAAAACTGTTCTAAGTTTGCTTACTTCAGAGAAAATGACTTGAGTTGGTGTGTAGGATAGAATTGGTGATAACACGACTTTGTACTTTATCCTGCCTTCCTTTATAAGGGTTATAAACATGAAAAAACTGCCTGAAAACATGAGCCTACTCAAACTGCGCATCCTTGCGAAATTGACAGTTCCAAAAAGTGCTTTATACCCACTCCAACAGAACTCTTCACCTCTATGTAGGAGCATTACCCTATTTCTGCTAAATCCCCATACTTCCTAGATATCCTGTCTCTCTGTTGCAGCTGTCGTTTTCCTTCTATCAGTGATGCATCTAATCCCATTATGCGAATACGCGCGTACTCCTTCGACGGGAACACATAGCACTCACACCCACTCACATGGGTTCTGCGCTTCCAACCTAACCATTCTCTTCTACCCATGCAGGGCTGAACTCCCATATGGTGTGTTCGCATAGCAGCGAACACTATTATCCAAACAAATACAGCAGTTTTTATTCGAATTTCCGCAGCAGCTAACGAGCGCGCACTTCCCCGCCTCGTTTCTCATGCTTTTTGCACGGGCGATGAGCTAGGAGAGTTTTTAATCCACACAGGCTCCGTTGGTGCAATGGCATGCCATGCATAGATCGTAAAGCATGATAAGACTTACTCTCTATCCATTTTCGGCGCAAAGCATGCAAAAGCCCAATGAGAATCTCGACCAAGATAGCAGAAATTCCCGCGAAGTAGATCCCCGCCTTGCAAAAATTTTCGCTCATGTCAAACTTTACGAATACTGGCGGAAGTCGACCTAATGCATCCCTGCGCTGCGGAGATCCGACCATGAATCTCTACGTTAAGAAATTCCAACGGAGTTTCCGGTAAACAACTATGTTGGATTTCTGCTGAACTTCCGATCCCGTTTCCTACGTTGGGAATTTTAGCAAAGTTTCCGATAAATTCCGCATTAGGGAATTTCAGCGGAACTTCCGATCCCGCAAGTCCCTACATTGAGGAATTTGGACGGAAATCTCGGTAAACCCTGATCGGCGCATTTTAGCGAGTCTTTCGATCCCGTGCGTCCTTGAGTTACGGAATTTTAACGCAATTTTTTTGAGCCCTCTAAAGCGGAATTTTAGCGGAACTTTCGACTGAGTAAGCCTCTTCGGAACTTCCGATCTACTGAAACTCTGCAATTTCATTTTACCCCCCCCCCCCCCCCCTCAACCTCTCAGTCCTATCCGTCATGACCGATGATCCTTTTGGCATGAAATGAGAGTGTGAAGACGCTTGATGAATTGCGCTTTCATTGTCGGCAATGATCCGAACCTACGACGACGAGCCGGCTTTCATGACACAAAACGCAGATTAGCATATGCTGCTGCTCTCCATTCATGTGTCCACCTCATACATTATCAATTATGGAACGTTGAACGACATTAACGATTGTTTAGATGTGAAGGCGCAATGATGCAGGTGCAGGTGCAATGTCCTTTATGGGTCGTGAGTGACTTAGACTTTGCAATCTTTGTTGCAGGGTAAAAGGTGCATTAGAGAACAGAGATGAACTTCTTCACAAAAGAAATGACAGAAAACCATGAATTTTTCGAGAAAATTCTAAGGCAAAGGCATTGGAAGGTCATACTGTTTGAAAGAGCATTATGAGATGAACGTTTTCCCAAAGTCGGCCTTACACTTTTTTATGAAAAAAGGAAAGAAAAGGAAAAAGAGGAACTCAGAGAAAAGGGATACAATCATTGACACTCCTTAATTTTGTCTACAATCTAAATGGTAAGTTAAACATGATTTTTACAATTACTTCAATAAGGGTAATAGTAAAATTGTTAATAATATGCAGGGTGGAGTGTCCTCTGAGAAGATGGATGATTTGGAATCCTGCTAATGCCCACTTGCGAAGAGAAAAAATGCACTACATGCAGAATTCACAGTTCTCCTACAATGGATCAGATAAAAGGCCTCTTCCTGGTTTTTTCCGGGTACTATGAAAGTTTTGAATGAGTGCTGGACTTATGCATTATAGCAAACCTTAGAAGATGTTCTGTCCTCAGCCCTCCCCCAAAAAGTCTGAGGTCGCAGGATGCCATCCTCGGTGGTGAACTTTTTGATATAAAGAAGTGGTCTGTCATGATAATTTGCAAATTTTAGGGTTCAATGAAAAAATTATAACACAGTGCAATGACAAATTTAGGACAAGAGCTGTCAAACATTGAATGAGAATAAGATTGACAAGATAGAATTTTTAGGAGAAGCAGGTCAGAACCTGAAAACAGCCCTAAAATTTGAAAAAGGTGAGGTGACTTGCATTTCGAGCGATGTTTCTGGTAAGAATGTCACAGTTTCAAACAAATTCGGGCCCTCACAAAGCTTTCCAACAAATTCTAGGACGATTGTGTCCTTTTCTTGTTTGTGGATCCTCTAATTTTTAGCTACGGCTGATTTAGTCAAATTTGACAAGTCAAGTCCTTGTAGCCTTCTGCTTTATCCCTCTTCCACCATCCCCTTTTACCCCTCCTACTCCCTCTCCCCTTTCCCGTGTACTCAAACTAGTAACGTAGGTATGCCAGGCAATCGTCTCTCCAAACGCTAAAATCGGTTCCTGGCCTAAAACTGACAGCTCCCGTCACTTATAATGTGCACTCGATACGAGAGGAATCAACTAGCCGTATGACATCAATGGAAATTCACATCGTACATTTCCGATGCAGTACGCGAAATCAATACCAGGTGTACGAATAGAAAATTCAAGGAGAAAAAAGCGTACTTTTTGATTTTCCAGCAATTTCGAAAATCTCGGAGAGTTCCTTTGTTTTCTCGTAGTTCAGAGGCTTTGTTATAGCTACCGTACCATCGGAATAGATAGTGAAGTGATCGCGGACAATTGGAGCAGCGAGGATATGTTCGCCAGTGAAAAGAGGAATTCGCTGAAATAACATTCATAAAATATAAAAAATAGTCGTAAATGGCGGATGCATAGTCGTTTGCACAAATTAGAACCAGTTTGCGATATGGAGATTACGGTAACTGTATCTCATGTGGTAAAGCAATGGAGAATTTTCCTCAAAAAATAAATAAAAACAATTAAGAATTGTCAAGTTACCTTTGAGAATTCTTCCTTAGTGTTTTCTTTCACCCTGATTTCTATAGGGTCAGAAAGTTCCCTTCTTCGACGACTTTTGGTGAAAGTGTAGCTGTCCTTTTTGTCTTGAATTAAGACGGTTACTGTAGCTGTCGAGTTCTGAACAATAAATTGATGGACAAAGAGAACCATTCCATCACGGTACTGTAGCTTCCAAAAAATGAAAAATAAGTATTGTGTAGTAAACAAAAATCACTTGTAATAAAACTTGCATTGTAAATTCAAAGATTTTACGATTAAGGAGAGTTTACCTGATTTATGGAGTTTTTGGCAACGACTTGGAGATCGTATTTTCCAACTGGGACCCTCGATATGGTATAAATATCCCCAGAAAATGTATCAACGTTGAAATACGAACTATTTTCCTGCAGACCATACTGTACGCTCCCTTTGTTGGTTCTGAAAAGAGAATTCAAGTTTTGATAACATACACTTTCCTTTTTCCCGTTGATCCTAACAAGAGCTCCCGGGTCTTTCTTTTTAGTGCAACTAGTCCTACATCGGAAATTTTTGGAATATTCAACTCTCTAAGTTCACCTCACTTCTTCTTTTACTGGCACAATTCCTGGAACGGAAGATTTCAAAAACCGAAGCGCCCGCCCTTTTTTGCTTTCTTGGTGCAATTAATCGTCGAACACCGTGCTGCTCCCGACATGATGATGATTTGCTCGAAGCGCAAGTAAATTGTTTTCTCCTTTGCCCCCCTCCCCCTTCCCGCCTGGTGCTGGGTGGTATCAAAATTAGCTGCAGTTATCGTCAACGGCGCGGCTTAATCTCATTGAGAGTATCGAGTGCGCGCGAAAACAACGTGAGCTTCCCCCCCCCCCCCTTATGGCCGTCCTCATTCGTTAGTGAGAAAGGACACATCATCATATCCACTGATCCAAGCGAACGGTTTTGCTGAGCCCCCTAGGCCCCGTCTCCTCGTCCCCCGTATTCTCTCGCGCATTTCGAGTCATTACGCTTACGAAATGGTGCGCTTCTTCTTCATCTTTTCACTGCGAGTAATTGCTCCCTCAAGAGATGCAGCCGTCGAATGAACAGCAGAAGAATTTGAAATGAATGTCTATGGTGAGACAATCCACAAAAAAGTCACTGCAATCGCCCGGCGAGCAGCGAGTCATAGGGAAACATCTAGGGTTATTGGCATTTTGGTGATAAATGTTAATGACTTTTATATGGGAAGAGAAATAACCCACGGTAGAAATGGGAAAATATGGGAACCTGAGGGGAAAGATCATCAGTATAATTTTCCTTTGGGCGAATACAAGGGCAAAAATCAAAAAATAGATAGCGGTAAACAGAAGCGGAATCCATTCTTTGGAAAAGACATCGCATTTCTATAGTTAAGAATTCTGTTGAATGTATACTTGGACTATCAAAGACTATTCTATGGCAAAATATTGGCAAATATTGAGAGATTTGGATTCAGCGCTTCATAGAGAATCTTACGGATACCATAAGGTAAACATAGCGAAAGATATAGTATTACAGCAACGTAAAGGAACCCTTTTAAGAAAATAAAATGTTACTAGCTGGCTTGCCCGGCTCCGCCGGGCCTGCCAGCTAGACCCGTGTACGTATGTTCCAAATAGAAAATTCCATTTCTGAACCGATCCGGACCAAACTTTGCACACATACACTTCGGGCCCCGGCGGGTGTCACAGTCCACTTTTCGTTATCGATCGATGTCGATTATACCGATTTTTATCGATCTTTTTTGCAGAGTTCACCTACAGGGCTAGGAGTTGGCACAGGGGGGAAGTGAGCATGGGGATTCCGAACACAATATTAGTTTTCAGAATTATCGATTACTTTTATTGATTTTATCGATTTTTTTGTAAATTTTGACCTGCGGGGCTGGGAGTTTGCACAGGGGGGTAATCGAGCATGCTGATTACGAACACAATATTAGTTTTCAGGATCGTCCATTACTTTTATCGATTTTATCGATTTTTTTTGTAAAGTTTGACCTGCGGGGCTGGGAGTTTGCACAGGGGAGTAATCGAGCATGCAGATTACGAATACAATATTAGTTTTCAAGATCGTCCATTACTTTTATCGATTTTATCGATTTTTTGAAAATTTGAGCTAGGGGGCTGGAATTTGGCACAGGGGTGTAATCGAGCATGCTGATCACCCCCCTTGGGGATGATCAGCATGCTCGATTACCCCCCTGCGCCAACTCCCAGCCCCCTAGCTCAAACTTTGCAAAAAAATCGATAAAATCGATAAAAGTAACCGATAATCCCGAAAACCAATATTGTATTCGGAATCCCCATGCTCGACTACCCCCCTGTGCGAACTCTCAGCCCCGTAGCTCAAACTTTGCAAAAAAATCGATAAAATCGATAAAAGTAATCGATAATCCTGAAAACCAATATTGTATTCGGAATCCCCATGCTCGATTACCCCCCTGTGCCAACTCCCACCCCCGTAGCTCAAACTTTGCAAAAAAATCGATAAAATCGATAAAAGTAATCGATAATCCTGAAAACCAATATTGTATTCGGAATCCCCATGCTCGATTACCCCCCTGTGCCAACTCCCAGCCCCGTAGGTGAACTCAGCAAAAAAATCGATAAAAATCGATAAAATCGATATCGATCGATGACGAAAAGTAGCCTATGACACTCGCCGGGGCCCAAAGTGTATGTGTGCCAAGTTTGGTCCCGATCGGTTCAGAAATGGAATTTTCTATTCGGAACATACGTACATACAGACATACAGACAGACATACAGACAGACATACAGACATACAAACAGACATTCAGCTTTATATATAAGATTAGTCAAAGAAACCCAAACCATGAAGTTGCACGGCAAACAGTGAAAGTTCTAATAAAGAAAATGACTCCTTACGTTTACGTAGTATACGGTAATCATGGGGATGGATCGGTATCACTCTCCGTTGAGAAGGAATTGAGATAAAGTTTGGTGAAAGGGTTGAAAAGAGAACTTGACAGGGTAAGAGTATATTGTAAAATTCTTCGGGTACATGAGTTGGCGTAGAGGTATAAGAAAAGTAAAATAAGTAGTAAAAACAACATTCCTTTATCAAAATACTGTTCTGATCAAGCAAGCCAGTGTTTATGGCAATTTTTGAAGATGGGGAGGGAAAGTTTCTTAAGGAGATGCCAAATTAAGTGAAAAGTTACCTGGCATTGACTCTCATAACGGTTGTCTGAGGCTGTAGTTCTTCAAGTGAAGTGAAATAATGAGAAACATCGAATTTTGGCGGTTCTGGAGCAGCCTCTTGTACTAGGATCGTCACTCGACAATTGGCCACTTCATGCCAAGTCTCATTAAATGCGCCAAGAAAGAACTCCATCACTTCCCCTCCTCGATTTTCCAACACATCAGACAGTTGAATCTACAACGAGAGAACCGTGAACTTTTACCCAGTGCCTTTGTCACTGTGTTCCCATGTGCAAAACAAACCAATGCGAATCCGCGGCCTTTCGGGTCTTCCCGGCTGATGATCGTAATTGGAAAGGCTTCTATTGACGAGATGGGAGCAAATCGAACCGTCTGCCCGGGCGGCATCGCTTTGAGCGTAAACGGTCGCGAGAACAGTAGTAGCGAACCATTTTGGGTTGTCTCGGAGATTAGCGTTTGGTAGTGATCCATCAAGAATTTAATTGGGCTGAAAAATTCACATTGGGGCAAAAATTCAACGGGCTTAAAGCTTTTTCTGCTAGGAGAAGGCGGGTCAAAAATCAAAGAAAAATTACCTGTCAGAAATCTGTACATGAACCAAGATCACCCTCTGATATGTATCTTGTTTGGCCATGATGTATAATGGAAATCGGGAGATGTTTACCGGCATGGGACGCGTCGTAATGAGCTTAAAAGCATAATATGAGATTTTGGAGGACATCTATACGAATATTTCCTTTCTTCGTATTTCATTGATGCTTTACGCATCATAGAAATTGAAAAGAGAAGGAAAAAAGAGATTTGAAACTAAAACCTGGCCAAGCTCATTCGTCTTGAAAAGGCGGAAATGCGGTGATGGTAGAATCCTAAGGGTCTCGTCATTTGTAACTAGTTGAGTAAATTGAAGATCAGCAACAAGCCATCCTACAGGTGCATCTCGCCGGACTACGACTGTTGATGGCTAAAACGTGAATTTTTTTAAAAATCGAAAGGGAAAAAAACTCAAAAGTCTGAAAGTCTGAAGTTTGAAAAATCACCAAAGAGTACCGTGCATATGAGTACAAATATATGATTACTCAACTATAAAATTACTTTACTGTATTAACTCAGACTGAATGAGTTTGCATCAAAACTGAAAAAATTTGAGTTTGAAATTTTTTCATTGATTTTATTGTTCTAGAGAATTATTTTGTATAGTCCTATATTGACACATATATTTACTTGCGAGAAAGGCTTGAGGCTGATATTTTTACTTTTGTGACATTTTGCTAGATATAAAAATTATTCCACTGCGATAACCCAACGATAAATTCTTCAATCTTGAAAAATGAGCAAATCGTTTTATTTTTTACAATTTTGTTGATTATGATAATTTTTCCATTGTGGTAAGCTTCACACCAACAAGTCCTTTCAGGCTGCAGAAAAGTTGAGCTCCAAATTATGTTCAAAATTTTTGTAAAAAAAAGAGCTTTTACTTTCTGAAACACTTTCACTTCCTTTTGTTGACATTGACTGATCTCGGGTAAACATTTGCGCAAATTGTAAAATTTGGCTCACTCAACTGAAACTTCATCCCTATTTATTTTTTAGCAAAAAACTGCAAAGTTTATTATCCTTTCGCTCAATCCCGTGTGCAACATTCGCACTCCTAGTTGCACCTTCTCGTTTTTCACCGAACTCAATTACACAATTCCTAATTTAGCTGTGCACCTGCTTTTTTCTCGCGCAGCCGTTGCCGCTGTCAACGACGACGGCCAAATCTCTGAAATGAAGCCGTATGCTCGTAATCGTATGTGTTTCAAGCCGACTAAGGACGAAAACAGCAGCGGTGTAGCTTTATCGATGACGAGCCGAGCATTTCATTTGCATGCAGAATCCGGATGCTTTCGCGGTCGTCCAGCTGATGCTGTCTCATAGCGTCATTTTAGTGTCTGCTAGTGTAGGCACACAGCTCAAATGACCATGTTTGATGTGTAAAAACGCCATCGATCCTCAAACATTAGTGGGAACTAATAGGGGTGAACTCTAGAACACCCTTTTCTTAGCGATAAATTGCTCTATGGCACGCTATGGGTGTCACTGACGATGCTGTCGGTTATTAATATGTCAGATAGCTGTCAACTCTTGACGATTCTTGGTCGCGAAAACAAAGATCGGAAGTTTTTCCACAAAAAGGCGCAAAAAGGACTTCTAGTAAAAGCTGCCAGGCCAGATTCATGTCATCCTCTTATGGTTACTCAATATTTCCTAGCATTATGAGCAATACTGCCCGGATGCGACAGCGTCAAGTATTTTCGCTGTCCTTCGCCACGATGAAGTACACCCTTATTGCTTTGGCAACACTTCCTGTGAGCCTGCGGGTATGGGATGGATGGGTAAGAGGTTGATTTCGAACAATAAGGAGCAGCAAGCACCATAGCAGCAACAAATATTAGACCACATTCTATAGCATAACAAAAATTTGATTGAATTCAATAAGGACATCATAATTAGAAAAAACCTTAGAATACGAAGCATTAGTTAAATATGTCGTAAAAGATTTTTAGTGGAACTTTGATGGTTGCTCTTGATGCAAAATTATTTATTTCAAGCAGAAAAGTTTTAAGCTCAGCTTCAGAAATTTTTTCTCAATTTTAAGAACTGCATCAACAGTTCAATAAGTTTTGAAAGTTGCTACCTCAAATTCTTCGGGGAAAAATTCATGCTGGAAGGGTTTTCCAAGAAATTTTTGTGATGCAACGAATCTTGAATGAATTGAGCAAATTTTGTTTGGCATCGACTCTACGTTCAGTTTGTAAGCATCAACATCAAACAAGGCTAATTTGAATATTTTTGAACTTTCTGACAACGCCTTGAAAATTGCTCTGGGCTTTATCCGCTTTTTAAAAAACTTCTTCAAAAATTATTTGCCATTTCTAGATGCCACTTTCGCGGGGAACACGTTGAACGAACACTTTTTTCAGATGCTAATTTGCTTAGGAAGAACGTGACGCACATGCTGATAGAAAAATTGAGCGCTGAAGCGCACAAAACTTTCAGCTCTCTTTGAAAAGCTATCTTTTTATTACCTTCAAATAGTTTCACCGCAACACATGACGTAATCGAAGAAAAATTCATAAGCAAAAAAAGTAAAAAGCTTTTTTAGGACGTGCAAGGTTTTCTGGTTATAGGAAAGGCTTTGTGGCAGGCAAACTTTCTTCAAGCGAATAAATTCCCGTCAAAATTGTACGTTTTGTAGGGAAATACAGATCTTATTAGTGTCAGTGAATCCAAGGGTTTACTGACAAGGTTATGGCAAGAAATTTTGCAGACGTCGAATATTCTGTGCAATGCTCAATTATGCCACGTTGGAAAAAGTACTTAAAGGCAGTTTTCCAAGCGAATGATTCATTACAAGTTCAGACCACCCTCATGATTTTCTTAACCCATTTTGAGATTTTCCTTTCTCACTAGAAAGTTTCCAGTCAGATCACTTTCCCCGTGCACTCTCACTTGCAGAACCAGACGATATTCGCGAATATCCTTGACATGCCATGGCACTGATTAACTCGACCTCGCCTTCATTGCTATAATCATACAATGAAGAAAATCACTACGAACGCGTGTAACCCGCAATTACAGAAAGTCAACGAGCGCCACATCCAGTGTATTGCTACCATATAATCGATAGGAGATTGCCCGGCCGCAAATCATGCGCAATCCGTGCGGATGCCGTCTGCTGCTGACATGCGTGCGGCATTGAGTCAGGGATGAGATCGGAGCCGTAAATGCTGTACGAACAATACCGACACGGTATGGTCTTCACAGCAATAATCACTTTTGGGTATTGTCCGTGCAAGGCGGCTTACGGCTTTGATCCGGACGAGTTCTCACATTCCTGATGACGCAACCTGCTGAGTGCAAAGTGTGGAATGGGTGGACACAGGGGTGCAGGTGGGAATGTTTATTTGTGCAGGAGCAAGGTAAAGAAATCCAATTAAAGGGACTAAAGAATATCAAACCTGAGGCTTTTCTTTGCAATCCTTCTTCACAGGAAGGAGACATCGAAAAACATAAAATCATTATCTCCATTTCAAGTATTTATAAATAAAAATTTAGCTAGTTTCAACCTTCGAGATTAGTCAAAACTCGAACCAACTACACCAATGTACGGTTTCCAAATTTCTGAATCAAAGAGGTATCTTAACTTAGCAGAAAAATTTTTGAGAGCTTGCGGAGCTCAGATTTTGGAAATAACGTTTTCATAAATTAGATCATTTGCAGTTACTCTCACAATGGTTTTTCTTGCATTCTTCAATTTTTCAAAAAAATTTTCAGAGGTTGCGGACAATAAACCTTGCACAATAGCTTTTCTTGCATTCTTCATAATATAGCAGGTAGCTCAGAAAAATGGCTTTTACATTTTCTACGATTTCCTTTCACTAATTCAAAACACAGCTTGGAGAGAAATTCTCTCTAAAAAATACATAAAAATTTTCGTACAATCAGTACTTTAGGAAATAGGAATTTTTGTCGAGAAGTTTTGCAAATTTACTTTGTATTTCCCAAAAGTACATCTTATAAGAAGTAAACATTATGGTGAATAAGATTGTTTATTCATGCTCCGCAGTACTTCTTTTCCCAGCAAAACTCCAATCTTCATTACTTTCATTCTCTATACTGAAACTCTCTCGTTTTTTCATGCTCCGAACAGGCACTATGATTTTTTATACCAGAGGCATTTCATAAGGTCAAATGTACTATCGCTCAGTAGCTTTATGCATAACAAATTCTCTCTCTTCTGGCTTCAGTGAGGGATAGCGAGAAAAACTTTGACAAATATGAATGCAGACGTGTAGTATAGCTGGTGAAAAGATTGATAAATGGAACAGTAGGATTTTCCGGTTTTGCGGGGGTTTTCGAGGTTTGTCAAGTGTCAAAAGGGCAAATGAACAAGAAAATATTGACAACTAGCTGGCTTGCCCGGCTCCGCCGGGCCTGCCAGCTAGACCCGTGTACGTATGTTCCAAATAGAAAATTCCATTTCTGAACCGATCCGGACCAAACTTTGCACACATACACTTCGGGCCACGGCGGGTGTCACAGTCCACTTTTCGTTATCGATCGATGTCGATTATACCGATTTTTATCGATCTTTTTTGCAGAGTTCACCTACAGGGCTAGGAGTTGGCACAGGGGGGAAGTGAGCATGGGGATTCCGAACACAATATTAGTTTTCAGAATTATCGATTACTTTTATTGATTTTATCGATTTTTTTGTAAATTTTGACCTGCGGGGCTGGGAGTTTGCACAGGGGGGTAATCGAGCATGCTGATTACGAACACAATATTAGTTTTCAGGATCGTCCATTACTTTTATCGATTTTATCGATTTTTTTTGTAAAGTTTGACCTGCGGGGCTGGGAGTTTGCACAGGGGAGTAATCGAGCATGCAGATTACGAATACAATATTAGTTTTCAAGATCGTCCATTACTTTTATCGATTTTATCGATTTTATGAAAATTTGAGCTAGGGGGCTGGAATTTGGCACAGGGGTGTAATCGAGCATGCTGATCACCCCCCTTGGGGATGATCAGCATGCTCGATTACCCCCCTGCGCCAACTCCCAGCCCCCTAGCTCAAACTTTGCAAAAAAATCGATAAAATCGATAAAAGTAACCGATAATCCCGAAAACCAATATTGTATTCGGAATCCCCATGCTCGACTACCCCCCTGTGCGAACTCTCAGCCCCGTAGCTCAAACTTTGCAAAAAAATCGATAAAATCGATAAAAGTAATCGATAATCCTGAAAACCAATATTGTATTCGGAATCCCCATGCTCGATTACCCCCCTGTGCCAACTCCCACCCCCGTAGCTCAAACTTTGCAAAAAAATCGATAAAATCGATAAAAGTAATCGATAATCCTGAAAACCAATATTGTATTCGGAATCCCCATGCTCGATTACCCCCCTGTGCCAACTCCCAGCCCCGTAGGTGAACTCAGCAAAAAAATCGATAAAAATCGATAAAATCGATATCGATCGATGACGAAAAGTAGCCTATGACACTCGCCGGGGCCCAAAGTGTATGTGTGCCAAGTTTGGTCCCGATCGGTTCAGAAATGGAATTTTCTATTCGGAACATACGTACATACAGACATACAGACAGACATACAGACAGACATACAGACATACAAACAGACATTCAGCTTTATATATAAGATTGGTGAAAATAATGTACGGAATTATCAGAGAAAGGTTGTTGTTGAAAGATTTTTTTTTGAAATACGTATAATTCAACAAAAAGAAGAAATTAGTTTAGTCACTGTAATTTTGGAAAATTTGGTATAGATAGGATCTTATGGTATAACGGTAAATGAGTTTGCCAAATGCCAGAAGGGCAATTAGAATAGAGAAAATATGGACAAAAATCTGAAGAAAGAAAAAAAATGAATGGGAAATGAGACTGAGGCAGCTTTGATGGGCCTTCCATCCACTTTTCTGATAAACTCAACAAAAATTCTTAAAATGCTGGAATATATAGACTATTCTCTATATAGACTATAGACTATAGAAGTATTCTATTACCAACAATCCAGTTATTTTCAACCTTCAATTTATTGTTGGAGTATCAAACTAATGAGGCGTGAAAGTCCTATGCACTATTCGTGAGTAACAAACCGCATGAAAAATTCAAATAAAATTTTCATCACCTCAGCGTGAATTCCAGGGACTATATAGTGTAGTAATAGTAAACTAGTAGCTACTCGAACCGCCATGTTAGCCTACAGCTTCCGCCAGCTCAAAGCCCCATCGGCATGGAAGATCTGAAAGAGAAAAACAAATAGTAAATGGGTTGGAGTTAACTAGTACGGCGAATATAAACGTTAAGAGAAGAAAAATTGTATGCAAGAGGAAAATCGAGCCTCAATTGGCAGGGAAACGTCGGGAAAAAACAATCTTGACGTAGAAAAAATTGCTGAAAAACAAAGGACTAGTAAAATCTGTGCAGAGATAATTGGCTAACGTTGAAGGCACATTGGAGTAGTAGGTAGTCTCCGGAAGTAGAGTGGACTCTACGCCTCTTCTCAGTGCTCTCGTCCGGCGATCGAATTGCTCAGCTCAGAGGCCTCTCTAATTGGGTTCTAGTGTGTGGCACGGGGTAGGGGGGAGGAGGACGCCTCTCGGTTACAAATCCTTCTCTCTTCACAGACACGTTCTTCAGCAACGAAACCTCTACGGATGCACTTAGCGATGAGCCACAGGAGCTCATAGCGCTTGGCACCCGCCGCACCGCAGCTCATTTTCTCCCCCGTGGTTTTATTTGCATTCAAGAACGCTTGGGTTACATACAGCTGGTTGAAGAGTGCAAAGTAGCCGTGAGAGAGGCGCATGAGGCTAATATAGCAGATTTTCAGAATTTTGTCCCAATCTGTGTATAGGGAATCGTTGTGCTTGTACAAAAAAGGTGAAAGGAAACCGCGCGGCTCACGCAGCGAAGGTCTTGCAAATCTAGCACCTTCAGATTACTGGTTCACTAGTCAAATGAACTTTTGAGAACCTTTAAAAATGAAAATTTCTAATTTAATGGACTTAAAAGGTAATTTGTGGATGTGGTAGAGCAATCAACCATTCGCCTTCAAGATGGGCGGAGTTGCCAGGCCTTGGCCAATCACCATCCAAAGCAGGTGAACCAGTACCGCCCCTTAATTCTGCCGAGACCCTTGTTGTAGGATAACTGGCTAAGAAAAAAGAGGTATATATATAAGCTATATAAAGGAGGTTACGAGAAAAGAAACGACACCATAGACGTGAATTAAAAAGCATTTTGTTGAGTTTGTCATACAAGGCTGACAGAATATGTTGAATTTCTCGAGGAAACTCCATATGGGTGGCTTTCTTTGTGAATTATTCAAGTGTACTTCTGAATATAAAATTTGTCCTAGAGAGTCAACTAATGGGTTTTTATGCAAAATATGTGGGAAATTAACGCTTGATTAGCTAGCTGAAAGCGTAGGAAAGTACTACAACCAACAGTTATATGAAAAAGAAGAAACGATAACAACATGTAAGCACAATTTAGTACTACAATATCTCAAAAAAGGCAAAGATGTCACGATTCTAAAGAAAAAACTGAAAACATACTAAAAGCTGCAGAGCGAATTTGTTGCAAGACGAAAGAGATTAGCAAAAGCTTCAAGTTTGCCCTTTTTATGAAGAAAAAACGAGGAGAGAAAAAAATCTTGCTGGAAGCCTGTTGAAAGTGATTGTATACTTTTGACTGCTGTCATAGTTTCAAACAAATGGAATGAGAGAAACTTGAGCTCTGGAAAGAACGAAAAGCAAGCTTTGCTGCAGGATTTACATCAAATGAGATAAATTATGGGATAATCAAAAATAAATGATAAAGTGAGATATACTTCAGGTTTAAATTGATTAATCATGATAAAATTATGAAAAAAATGTCTTTATCTACACACTAATTTTATTTTTCTTATTTTCTAGCTTCAAAAAAAACGTGAATAATTGAGAAAACATAGCGAAGTAAATAACAAAGATTTTTGCAAATAGTCAAAAAATTAATGAAAAACAGCGAACACCCCGACTGGAACACCTCATCATTCTTTGGTTTCTGCGCAACCCGTGCAGGTGCCATTACGCACCACTTATTTCGCTGCTACGTTGCCCGATAATTTCATCCAAAGAAATAAATTCTCCTCCTCCCTCAATGAGGGAAAAGAAACTATTTCTTTGGTCTATAAATTAGTTTACTATGCTCGATTACTTCCCACCCATAAATCATAGCGTTCTTTGCCAACACACAACGGAGTCGCTTCACTATAACTTAAGTGCAGCCTAATAATTTATGACATTCAATTAAAGTTTCAATGAGGGAATAAGGAAAAAGGGAATAATGCATTATTGGTAAAAAGATAGCAAAGAATATGTGCAAAAGGATTCGCCGGCGAAATGTTGCTAGGAATTGATCAGCAGCCATATGGACACACATGCACTGAGGAGGCAATAATGAGTTCTTTTCTCACGTTGACGAAGTTATGGATCTTTGACGCTTGGGGAAAAATTTCTATTTTGTCAAAGAGTACTAAGGACTCGTACATTGTAGAAAAGAAAAAAAACTAGAAAGAGACTGGATAAAACTGAAAGAAAAGGCCGAGATCAGAGACATCAAAGTTAGGAAAAATCATATGCGAGACACTGAAAATGAATATTTAGAAGGGTCTAAAACGAGAAAAGAATTCAAACTCCGTCCCAGTTATAGTATTGAGATTAGGAATATTATGCAAATAAGGGTAAACGAGGTAAGGACCAAAAGAAAATCCCACATGTACCAACTATGCCCTAGTATAGAGGATGAATAGCAAAAATGATCTCATGAAAGAAAAAATGGTATGTGACATGTAAAATTCTAGGCATATCTTGCTAAGAGATGCTATTACATTCTATGATAAAAACCTCTGCTGCGTGAGAAAGGCAAGTAATTTGAGACTGCTAGAAATATGCGACAACTTGAAGAAAACGACATTAATGGAAACTTTGCATCTAGAAGAAATACTTAGAGAATTGCGAAGGATGCAGAAAAACGCGAAAAGTACACACGCAATTTTCTCAGGAAACTCTGAGAAATCTTATAGAATCTAAAACTAATTTCCTGAAAGTTTTGAAATCAAAAGGGGTACGACCACGGTGATCAGATGAGTATTTTGGTATACGGAATTCATAAATAGACAAAATTCAAGAAAAAGAAGTAAGATTATGAAGTTGTGTGGTAGAAATTTACAAGACATCAACTGTTCTCTGTTAGGGGTTGTAAAATGACAGAATACGTAAAAACTCCGAATGAAAAAGAAGAAACTTATTGAAAATGGGAGAAATAAGAAACGAATTTCCGCTTTTCTTAGAACTAGGCAGAGAGACGAAGTATAAGCAGAACAGAGCTTATAAAAGCGCTTATGTCATGTTTAGCACTAAACGTATCAATCCCCGCCACCCCAGCCCCGCCCGCCTGCAGAGGACATCGAAGGTTGCAGGAGGTCTGCTTGTAGCCAGAGAAGCGATGCGCTCCAACGCTAATCCCCCTCCTCCCCTGACCACGACGGGGGCGGGGCATCATCAGCAGCACTGAACCGCTGCTCGGTTCGCGCACACGCTCCATTTATGGTCTTAACGTACTCACCCTTAGCGAGGACAACCCCCTCCCCCCCCCCCCCCCTCCCTTCCGTCCAGCCCGGCTGACTGGCTATGAAGCAATTTTCGGATTAATCACTCATGAACATGCGCGCTTGTTCGATTAAATTGGCGCTTCCGATCCGTTTGATGAGCTTTGAGATGCGGGATAAGTCGGAAAATTAGACGGCGCTAGTAAATGACAGAGAGGACAAGAATAAGCCGCAGCTAACGTCATATCGGGAGGATCTCCAAAAAATGTAATGAACAGAAGCCTCGAGACTGAGAGGTATGCAAAAAATATCGTATTATCTGGGACCAAATATGGAAAGAAACAACACACAAATCCACGCTGTTCACTGTGATATGCATGCGATTATTCAAAAGTTTTTCTTCCTACTGTATTCGTACTGTAAAACCACATGAGGAATGATTCCAAATTTCAAGTCATTGCTCAACTTTTGCAGGAGAGTTATTCGAGATGACGAGTTGAAAGACTATCTAACATCACAAGAAAGTTTTGTGGGGCTACTGTAGGTGTACGGTAAAAATTTGAAGTTCAGAATTTGCAATCCGTACACGGAAAATTGTCTAGGTGCTAATAGCGAATTCACGTCCATCCATTGCGATGATCGTTACCTTATCATGCGACTACGGTAATTGTTCAGTTCGTTGAACCGTAACCGCGCAGTAAGACGTTATAAAGGAAGGGGCAATTCGTAATGATTAGAACAATTTTTTTTAGAAAATCTTAAAACTCAATTTAACCTTACAAAATAATTTTTCGGGGGAGCAGCTGACCCGTTTTTCTTAAAGGCAGTGGATCAGCAGAATGGACCCTTCTCGAATTTTGGTGGACTTAGGTAGTAGACGCCCCAGGTACACTGTAGCCCAAACCCCATCTGTCAATTTATGCGCTAAGTCCTGAAACGCTTCAAAACTCCACCAGCTCCGCCCACTCAATGGAAAGGAGCGGGGCTGGTGGAGTTTTAAAGCGCATTTTTCAGGACTTGGCGCATGAATTGCCAGACGGGCTTTGGGCTACAGTGTACCTGGGGGTCTACTAACGGAATCCATCAAAATTCGAGAAGGGTCCATTCTGCTGATCCGCTGCCTTCAAGTTTCTGGGTTATAGGCCCGCGACAATTTTAGGACGCATAAAAATTTTTTTTTCAGTGCATGGTTTCAGTGCGCCACGCACCTTCATCAAAAAAATTTTGTCGTCCCCCCTCCCCCAACAGAAGTCGTATGCCACCCGCGTGCGGACGCCGCTGCGGCTTTTTCATCATTGGGGACGCCGCTCCCCTCGCCGCAGGGATGTTAGTGCATGCGGCCCTAAAACTTCGCACAGAGTCCGAGAAAGACGGCGTGAATCAATGTAACCACTACAGCTATCAAATTCGGCACGATGAATTTTTCTCGAGCACGCGACATTGAGAAACCTAAATCACAATTGTTCTTTGAAAAAAAAATTTTTCATCATGCCACATATGAAAAAAACCGTTCTTCAGCAGCTTCTTACTTGGTGTCACCTTATTCAAGCACAAATTGGAGGACGAGTTAAGCAGCCATATGGTAACCATCTAAATTCAAA